TTCTCCCAGCGCTACCAGCTTCCCTCCCTCCCTCCCTTCCTCCCTCCCTTGGCCGCCGAGGTTTCCTTCGATCGGGAGCGGTGGCGTGTTTCCTTGTTGTCCGTCCGTTTGCGTTTGCATGGGGCTCGACGTCGGCGAGATCGGGATGCCCCTCGACCTGGGCCTCGACCTCAGGCTCTTCGTCGCCAAGACCGCCGGCCGCCTCGCCAAGGAGGCGCCCGCCGTCGACGCCTGCATCCGCGGCCTCGAGGAGGAGCGCCGCAAGATCGAGGTCTTCCGCCGCGAGCTGCCCCTCTGCGCCCGCCTCCTCGCCGACGGTAAGCCGCGCGCCCACCCATCCCGAAGGATTTTTTGTTTCTGTTTGTTTGTTTGTTTGTTTGTTTGGATTTTGTCTGACGCCTTGTGCGGTTGCGCGTCCTGCAGTCATCGAGTTCATGAAGGAGGAGGCCGCCAAGAGGAGCGAGCGCCGCGACGCCGACGACAACGACAAGCGGAAATGGATGAGCACCGCGCAGCTCTGGGTCGACAGCCGCGCCACCGACGCCGCCGATCCCGTCGTACGTCTTCACTCCTTCCCGTTTTCATTTGTTTGTTTATTTTCGCTCTGGTTTGATCTTTATCTGCAATAAGTTGTTGCTATACGATACGATTCTAAGAAAAGAATCCGATCCTGACCGAAACGAATCCATTTCTTCGGTTTCATAAGGAGCAGAAGAAGGAGAGCGCCCTCTCCAAGCCGATGCTGCTCGGCGGTGCCACCGGCGTGCCCATGGCAGTCAGCTGCGGCGCAATGCCGCCGCCGGCGGCTCCCCAGTATCTCGGCAGGGACGACAAGATTGTTGGCACACAAGGCCTGCCTGCTCTGCCCATGATTTCTCCGGCTGCGAACAGGCAGTTTTCTCCCCCTGCCGACGACCGTCATCAGGCCTTCGCCGCAAAATTTGCATCCGCCATGCCGCCTCCGGGGCCTGGCTTGCAGACTCATGAGCAGCAGTCGAGGAAGACAAGGCGGTGCTGGTCGCCGGAGCTTCACCGGCACTTTGTTGCCGCCTTGCACCAACTCGGTGGCCCTCAAGGTACTTTAATCAAATGTTAGCTGTATGTTGTGCTAGTTGGAACATTCGAAAAATATTGGAGTCTTTACAGAATTGTTCCATCATGATTGCAGTTGCCACTCCAAAGCAAATCAGGGAGGTGATGAAAGTTGATGGCCTCACCAACGATGAAGTGAAAAGCCACCTCCAGGTTACCAATCATTCTCTCCCTCTGTGCAACTTTTTTGTGAACAATTCTCATTTTGAAATGCTATCAACATACTATCTTGTCTTGAGACTAATTTGGATCATGTTGATGTTCAGAAATACCGCCTGCACAACCAGAGGTGCCCTAGCTCTTCTTCAGCAAGCCATCCGGTTATGCTGGTGGGCGATCTCTGGGCTCATCAGGAGCAAAGCAGCTCGCAGTCCCGGTCCCCTGAAGGCCCCCTTCAGCTCTCTGTTTCAGGGGTGGCCGTCTCGGCACTCACCGGCAGCGACAGTTCCGAGGAAGACGACAGGTCGGTAGGCTATAGCCGGAGGTGATCTGAAGGCTTCGGGACTACCGTCGGAGATTTTCATGAGAGAGGTAGAGATAGCTTTGCGGCATGGATGACAATAACGGCATGCACTCTCGATCCAGAGGGTGTGGTGCAGGCCATGGATCCAGGGATATTGGGCGTTGATCCATCCAACGCCCAAAAAATGAACTGATCATGGCCTTGTTCTTGTGATGTACATGAGGCTTTGTTTCGTGAGCGTTTCGGGCAGACCACCAATTTTCGCCCCGAGAAATACTTACATACATATATAAATGAGATTCGAATGTTGTTCAGTTGCTGCTGTGTTGAGAACTTGAGATGAATAAAGGTGCTACAGTTTTTGCTACTCGGTTCTTGCTTGCATATGAATGTTCAGCGTCAACCTTGTACCTGCTGAACTGCCCTTTTCTGACCAGGTGAAAATTCCATGTTGCTGAAATTTCATCAGCAACAGCATCGCAGCAAAACCGAGGTTCTCTGAACCAAAGGAACTCGAGGACAAGAGCGCCATGGTTGCTCTCTCCGATTTCTCCTTCGCACGGCGACCTCGACTGAATCGCACCATTCTTTTCTGCAACTGGTGCGCGCTCGCCGAACCCTCTCGGGGCTGTCTGCAAAATGAGTAAATATTTCAGTATCCAGGCGACAGACAAAATCAAATCTTCGGGGAAAATTGAAGGAAGGAAAGAAGCAAACCGCGGCACGTTCCGGGATCCTGACCATGAGCTGGGACGCCCGCACTGCGCTGATCCCGACCCGATAAGCTGCACGTCGCTGTCCCCTGCATGCCCTAATCGCCATTGTTATCATCTCTGTCGTGGGTCAACAACTATTATACATTAATAACTGCTCCTACCACCGCATCCGTTTGCTGTCTGTGCTTATAATGGAGTATTGATTCGCACGCCGGCTGCCCGATCGGTCCGATGAGCATGTGCCGATTAGGTGGACTGGCGCGGTTTGGTGTGGGATTATCCCCGCATAATTTATGTGATCGGCAGCAATTATAAGACCAGTTTGGGATTATTCTGATGCGCGTCGCTTTGGTCGCAAGGGGCGCTTTCCTCTTCTTCTTCTTGGCACGCATGGGGAATATCCTCCTTGCTGTTGCTTGCAACGTCTCCGTCGTCGTCTGCTCGTCTCGTCTCCATCCGTCCTGCGCGTCCCTTTCGCTGCGGATGGGGTGTTTTTGGCCCTTGGGGCCGCGATAAGCTTGTTTTTGGAACCGTCGGTTTGGGCGTCGTCGGTCAGCTGTTGGCGATCCCGTCGTGAGCGCATAGGGACCTGGCTGGATGAATATCCCCGATCCTTCTTCGTTCGCCAAAAAAAGGAATATTCCCATCTTTACTCTATTCAGATTGTAAAAAAAAAATTCTTCTGATGAGGGATATACTCTGTTGCAGCAAAGAATCTAAGTTTTTTTTAATAAATTGTAGATGCTCACATACACACATACACTCATCCTATGAACGCACATATGCACACCCTAACCGTATGAGTACATTCGAAATACCGAGTCAGCACAACATCTTTGACATTTATGAAGTCAGAGGCGCCTTGTAGTCAATGGGAACGTTTCCTCCCACTGGAATAAATAGAGCAAAATGCAAGCACCAGTGCCAATTCTAGGACTTGAACCCTGGTGGTTTGCTTCCCCCTCAAGGAACCGAACCATTTGAGTTACGCACAGTTTGCAAGAATCGAAATACTTGATATTTCAGTACTTCAATGTTGGTCAGAGTATTTGATATTTGAGTACTTCAATGTTGGTCAGAAACTGATAACAATCATATACGTACTCTCATTTTCTGGCATGTTTCGATGCTGACCCTCGCGGAGGGAAGGATGAGACATAGTCGCATGATGGGACAATTTTCTATATCTGACAGTGGAGGACGATTTACGATATCGACGATCACCCGTCGACATCTGGTGCGTCGGGTAGGGGGTTAAGGCGTCAGATCCCTCTTAGGCCAGCCTCTCCAACCATGTCGGATCACGAGCAGCGGCCACCTCCAGTATGCACGACCCATCCCAGCAAAGAGGCCCCTTTGTGTGGGGGTGGTAGATCACCGTCGAAGCTCGGCGGCGAGCAAGTTTCCACCAACAAAAACCCGTAGATCCGGCGTCGGCTGAAGGGACCCATCACATCATGGCTCATGAAACTCCCTTAGTGCTCGGTGGTCTCCTAGGGTGACCTCTGCCGCCAGTTCGTGGCCAACTTCTAGGGCACTTTTGTGAGCCCTTGCACGCTTCCAACGTTTCTGCCAACACGATCACAAGATTTCCCCAGTGGGCCATCATCTTTACTTTCTGCCATGGCGTCCGCTACGAGAAGATGTTGGAGAACCTCATGACCCGAGAGATCCTGACGGTGGCCGAGTTGTTCGCCCTTGCGAAGAAGTGCGCCAAGACCACCGAGGCACATGCTTTTCATCACACAAGAACCGACCCGATGAAGGTCGGGGGCGCCGACCATGATGACATCACCAAAAAGACGAAGACGTGCAAGGCCAAGCTTGTCCTAGCGGTGGAGCCCCAAAGCCGCAAGACACAGCAGGGCAGGCTAGAAGCCGACAAGGAGAAGGTCAAGGCCGTTGGAGAGGGCGTAAGTAAGTGGTGCCCTCTCCATCGGTCCAAAGGGAATGGCCTCGAGAACTTCAGGGAAGTCCAGAACTTCGTCGAGGTTCATCGCCGGGACGTCGCGAGGTCAAACACGATAGTCACAGCGGCCAGGAGTGAGAGGGAGGACATGGTGCTCGCGGCACTCGCGTCCGCAAAGGGGATCGCGACAGGCACTGATGGCCTACAAGTGCACATGGTTTAGTTGTAGCCTTTTCGAAGTAAGAGTATCGATCCCACAGGGAGCACATGAATTGGACTTTGTCCCTTCTAGAGATGTATGGACATGTGCCTGCAAGTTAGTTGTAGATGCAAATCAAAATGAAGGCACAAGGTTGTAATAATTTTGAGTAAAGTGTAGGCAAAAGTAAATTGTGCAAAAGAAGTGAAAGAAGAATGCGAAGTAAATAAAGCGATGAAACCAACAAGAAGGTTAAAGGCATTCTCATGGAGTCCGAATTCCTACTAGTATGTGCCTAACATATGCTATAGCATATTCCTAGGTTGGATACTTGAGCCACTCTTGATGTTTGTAATTAGGCGGAGCTAGGTACAGTATCGTTCTACTCGAAGTAGACTTCATATAACTGAAGGAAATATGCCCTAGAGGCAATAATAAAGTTATTATTTATTTCCTTATATCATGATAAATGTTTATTATTCATGCTAGAATTATATTAACCGGAAACATAATACATGTGTGAATACATAGACAAACAGTATGTCACTAGTATGCCTCTACTTGACTAGCTCGTTGATCAAAGATGGTTATGTTTCCTAACCATAGACATGAGTTGTCATTTGATTAACGGGATCACATCATTAGGAGAATGATGTGATTGACTTGACCCATTCCGTTAGCATAGCACTTGATCGTTTAGTTTGTTGCTATTACTTTCTTCATGACTTATACATGTTCCTATGAATATGAGATTATGCAACTCCCGTTTACCAGAGGAACACTTTGTGTGCTACCAAACGTCACAACGTAACTGGTTGATTATAAAGGTGCTCTACAGGTGTCTCCAAAGGTACTTGTTGGGTTGGCGTATTTCGAGATTAGGATTTGTCACTCCGATTGTTGGAGAGGTATCTCTGGGCCCACTCGGTAATGCACATCACTATAAGTCTTGCAAGCATTACAACTAATGAGTTAGTTGCGGGATGATGTATTACGGAACGAGTAAAGAGACTTGCCGGTAACGAGATTGAACTAGGTATTGAGATACTGACGATCGAATCTCGGGCAAGTAACATACCGATGACAAAGGGAACAACGTATGTTGTTATGCGGTCTAACCGATAAAGATCTTCGTAGAATATGTGGGAGCCAATATGAGCATCCAGGTTCCGCTATTGGTTATTGACCGGAGACGTGTCTCGGTCATGTCTACATAGTTCTCGAACCCGTAGGGTCCGCACGCTTAAAGTTCGATGACGGTTACATTATGAGTTTATGTGTTTTGATGTACCGAAGGAGTTCGGAGTCCCGGATGAGATCGGGGACATGACGAGGAGTCTCGAAATGGTCGAGACGTAAAGATCGATATATTGGACGACTATATTCGGACATCGGAAAGGTTCCGAGTGATTCGGATATTTTCGGGAGTACCGGGGAGTTACGGGAATTCGTATTGGGCCTTAATGGGCCATACGGGAAAGGAGAGAAAGGCCTCAAAGGGTGGCCGCACCCCTCCCCATGGGCTGGTCCGAATTGGACTAGGGAGGGGGGCGCCCCCTTCCTTCTCCTTTTCCCTTCCCTTTCCTTCCCTCCTACTCCTACTACTTGGAAGGGCTCCTAGTTCTACTAGGAAAGGGGGAATCCTACTCCCGGTGGGAGTAGGACTCCCCTAGGGCGCGCCATAGAGAGGGCCGGCCCTCCCCCTCCTCCACTCCTTTATATACGGGGGCAGGGGGCACCCCAAAGACACAACAATTGATCTCTTGATCTGTTAGCCGTGTGCGGTGCCCCCCTCCACCATAATCCACCTTGGTCATATCATAGCGGTGTTTAGGCGAAGCCCTGTGTCGGTAGAACATCATCATCGTCACCTCGCCGTCGTGCTGACGAAACTCTCCCTCAACACTCGGCTGGATCGGAGTTCGAGGGACGTCATCGAGTTGAACGTGTGCAAAACTCGAAGGTGCCGTGCGTTCGGTACTTGATCGTTTGGATCGTGAAGACGTACGACTACATCAACCGCGTTATGCTAACGCTTCCGCTTTCGGTCTACGAGGGTATGTGGACAACACTCTCCCCTCTCGTTGCTATGCATCACCATGATCTTGCGTGTGCGTAGGAATTTTTTTGAAATTACCACGTTCCCCAATAGTGGCATCCGAGCCAGGTTTTATGCGTTGATGTAATATGCACGAGTAGAACACAAGTGAGTTGTGGGCGATATAAGTCATACTGCTTACCAGCATGTCACACTTTGGTTCATCGGTATTGTTGGATGAAGCGGTCTGGACCGACATTACGCGTACGCTTACGCGAGACTGGTTCTGCCGACGTGCTTTGCACACAGGTGGCTGGCGGGTGTCAGTTTCTCCAACTTTAGTTGAATCGAGTGTGGCTACGCCCGGTCCTTGCGAAGGTTAAAACAACACCAACTTGACAAACTATCGTTGTGGTTTTGATGTGTAGGTAAGAACGGTTCTTGCTCAGCCCGTAGCAGCCACGTAAAACTTGCAACAACAAAGTAGAGGACGTCTAACTTGTTTTTGCAGGGCATGTTGTGATGTGATATGGTCAAGACGTGATGAGATATAAGTTGTTGTATGACATGATCATGTTTTGTTGAAGTTACCGGCAACAGGCAAAAGCCTTATGGTTATCTCTCTATTGCATAAGATGCAAGCACCAAATAATTGCTTTACTTTATCGCTATGCGATAGTAATAGTTGCAAGAGCAATTGTTGGCGAGACAACCATGTGACGACACATTGATATAGATCAAGATGATGGAGATCATGGTTTGATGCCGGTGACGATGGAGATCATGACGATACTTTGGAGATGGAGATCAAAGGCACAAGATGATGATGGCCATATCATGTCACATATTTTGATTGCATGTGATGTTTATCTTTTATACATCTTATTTTGCTTAGTTCGGCGGTAGCTTTATAAGATAATCTCTCACTAAATTATCAAGGTATAAGTGTTCTCCCTGAGTATGCACCGCTGCGAAAGTTCTTCGTGCTGAGACACCATGTGATGATCGGGTGTGATAGGCTCTACGTTCAAATACAACGGGTGCAAAACAGTTGCACACGCAGAATACTCAGGTTAACCTTGATGAGCCTAGCATATAACAGATATGGTCTCGGAACACGGAGACAGAAAGGTCGAGCGTGAATCATATAGTAGATATGATCAACATAGTGATGTTCACCATTGAAACTACATCTCACGTGATGATCGAACATGGTTTAGTTGATATGGATCACGTGATCACTTAGAAGATTAGAGGGATGTCTGTCTAAGTGGGAGTTCTTAAGTAATATGATTAATTGAACTTTAATTTATCATGAACTTAGTCCTGGTAGTATTAGCATATCTATGTTGTAGATCAATAGCTCGCGATGTTGCTCCGAGATTATTGTGTTCCTAGAGAAAAGTTATGTTGAAAAATGTTAGTAGCAATGATGCGGATTGGATCCATGATTTGAGGATTATCCTCATTGCTGCATAGAAGAATTATGTCTTTGATGCACCGCTAGGTGACAGACCTATTGCAGGAGTAGATGCAGACGTTATGAATGTTTGGCTAGCTCAATATGATGACTACTTGATAGTTTAGTGCATGATGCTTAACGGCTTAGAATCGGGACTTCAAATACGTTTTGAATGTCATGGACCATATGAGATGTTCCAGGAGTTGAAGTTAATATTTCAAGCAAATACCTGAGTTGAGAGGTATGAAGTCTCCAACAAGTTCTATAGCTAAAAAGATGGAGGAGAATAGTTCAAGCAGTGAGCATGTGCTCAGATTGTCTGGGTACTACAATCGCTTGAATCAAGTGGGAGTTAATCTTCCAGATAAGATAGTGATTGACAGAATTCTCTAGTCACCATCACCAAGTTAGTAGAACTTCGTGATGAACTATGATATGCAAGGGATAACAGAAACGATTCCCAAGCTCTTCGTAATGCTGAAATCAACGAAGGTAGAAATCAAGAAAAATATCAAGTGTTGATGGTAGACAAGACCACTAGTTTCAAGAAAAGGGCAAAGGGAAGAAGGGGAACTTCAAGAAGAACGGCAAGCAAGTTGCTGCTTAAGTGAAGAAGCCCAAGTCTGGTCCTAAGCCTGAGACTAAGTGCTTCTACTGCAAAGGGACTGGTCACTGGAAGCGGAACTGCCCCAAGTATTTGGCAGATAAGAAGGATGGCAAAGTGAACAAAGGTATATTTGATATACAGATTATTGATGTGTATTTTACTAGTGTTCATAGCAATCCCTCAGTATTTGATACTGGTTCAGTTGCTAAGAGTAGTAACTCGAAACGGGAGTTGCAGAATGAACAGAGACTAGTTAAGGGTGAAGTGACGATGTGTGTTGGAAGTGGTTCCAAGATTGATATGATCATCATCGCACACTCCCTATACTTTCGGGATTAGTGTTGAACCTAAATAAGTGTTATTTGGTGTTTGCATTGAGCATGAATATGATTTGATCATGTTTATTGCAATACGGTTATTCATTTAAGTAAGAGAATAAATTGTTGTTCTGTTTACATATATGGTTACACACCCAATGAAAATGGTTTGTTGGATCTTGATCGTAGTGATACACATATTCATAATATTGAAACCAAAAGATGCAAAGTAATAATGATAGTGCAACTTATTTGTGGCACCGCCGTTTAGGTCATATTGGTGTAAAGCGCATGAAGAAACTCCATGCTGATGGACTTTTGGAATCACTTGATTATGAATCACTTGATGCTTGCGAACCATGCCTCATGGGCAAGATGACTAAGTCTCCGTTCTTCGGAACAATGGAGCGAGCAACTGACTTATTGGAAATAATACATACTGATGTATGCGGTCCGATGAGTGTTAAGGCTCACTGCAAGTATCGTTATTTTCTGACCTTCACAGATGATTTGAGCAGATATGGGTATATCTACTTGATGAAAGACAAGTCTGAAACATTTGAAAAGTTCAAAGAATTTCAGAGTGAAGTGGAGAATCAT